ACACCTGCCTGGAAGTTTCTAGTATGCCTAGTAAGACCTTGATTAGCTGCTTCAAGTGTGTTTGATTAGGGTTGGAGCTAAACTCTGCAGGACAGCGGCCCTCCGGTAAACAAGTTTGGTGATCCCTGGTTTAGAGTATGTAATACATGACACACTATCCTCTCAAAATAAGACAACAAAAATAGCAAGAATTTTAGACCATTCCTGAATCTTTGAAGTCTGCAGAAAAATTCTCTTTTCTCTGACAAGTGCTTAAAGACAAGGTTATGGTAACTGCTCCTTAAATCACTCTGGGAAATATTTGTCATCCTGTTTAAAGAGTACTATCACAAGGAGTCTTTGTTTTGTCTAAATTACTTAACAAAAGCCTCTTAAGGCCACCAATGCTGTTTGAGGAATGGGCGTCCCTGCATACCAACAGGTCAAAGGTCAGAGAGGGGCGGGGTGCAGCCCAGAAGGTCAGCTTGAGCCTGCAGGAAAATGTTTGTTGTCTGGCAGATGGGACAGACCCGGGTGTAAATAATGATAAGAAAGGGGTCAATTGGAATGGAATGTTTGAAAATGGAATGAGAATGAAAAAAATAATATTTTGGTTGTTTGTCAGTCCATTCCAGTTGTATACCATATGTATGATCCAGTCTAGTATTTGTTTGATTTCTCTAACATTCTGGCAGCCTTTAAGTAAAATAGTTTAAAACAACTTTAACGAATTCACTTCTTTTTCTTTATATATATATAACTGCAATATGACATTTCATATGAAAATGTCTTATATTGCTACTGCTTGAATCATCTAATCACAAAGACTCTGCTAATGGATATAGATACTTTTAGGGGTAATCACACTTGGGTTCACTCTTTACTAGAACTAACTAACACTACAAATTACAATACAAATATTTTAGTGCTGTCAAACAATAAATCGCGATTAATCGCATCCAAAATAAATGTTTTTGTTTATATGTGTGAGTACTGTGTATATTTATTATGTATATATAAATACACAAACATACATGTATATATTTTTAAAATATTTACATATATATATGTATTATATATAAACAAAACATATTTTTCTTAAATATATACAATGCTGTAAACGGTCCACAAAAATGTTGGCAAGTATGCAAATATGAATGTAAAAAAAGAATGTAAAAATGTTCCTAGTGCACAAACTCAGCGCATGCAGAGATGAAATCCGTGAGCAGCACTGAAAACACAGTATTATACTGTAAGTTGTACGTGTGTAAATGAACAAGTGCCACTCTTTTATTCTGAAAAGGCACAATAGACTTTATACAGACTATATTGTATAAATTGCAGCCTTTGATTTGACAATCACAAATTGAAAGATAACTCATAGCAATTCTTAACTCTTTTTGTTTTGGCAAATTGATTGCGAATTTTTATGTTTTCATAATTATACAAACTTTATACACATTATACAAATTCATATATTACCACCTTGTAAATAGTTACAATTTCCCATGAGATGAGGTTTAAAATGTTGCTGTTTCAGTTTTATTTTGATTAACTGTGCAGCCCCATTTTAATTTTCCATTTCATTTATTTATAAGCTTTTCAATAACTTTAAGAAACCCAGGCCTAGGGCACCAGTGTATTTTAGGGCAGCATGGGTTGCCATACCCACAGCTCAGATGCACGCTTCACATCTTTATCATTCATCCTCAGCCGCTCCTAGGGGTCGCCTACCTACAAAATCCCAATTTAACCTTAATGCATGAAAAAGCATGGCTATGAATAAAAACACTTGCTCAGAAACCAACAGCTGACCTCTGAAATTTGCTTGCAATGGCATGGTTAATGTTCACACGATTCTCTAAAAATAGACAAAATATTATTTTACAATATTTGTGTGTGTGTGAGAGACAGGCCTCTTGGGGAACAAGAGCTGCATTTGGCACTAGCGTCAGATGGCTGAAGAAAAAAAAAATCCCATAAAGGCTTAAAAAAGAGCTCTTTTTCTCCAAGGCATCATTGACAGCACGTCAGACTGGTGCAACAATGGGGAGAGATGTGGGTGGAAAGAGAGTGGGTGTGGGGGCAGAGAGATTTAGCATAAGAAAGACCCAGCATGAGAAAGGTGATGGGCCACCCTCAGGAAAAAGGGCAAAAAAAAAAAGAGAGACCACACATGAAAGAAAGCCGACATCTGTCCACCCACGCCAGAGACGAGCCTTCACAAATCAGGACATTTATTTGAGTCTTATGCATTAGAGAAGGAATCAAGTTATACAATTGAGATGTTAAAAAGCTACATTTTAAGGAGTTTTTTGCCACAAATGATGTCCATGATTTTACGCAAATTAGATCTTAACAGTGACCTTTGGTCCATTGATTTTTGACAACCACATGATCTCTCTCATCACAATAGAAGGGCTACATGCAGATTCTCAATCTTATTTTCCAGAAATAACTTATTCATAATCTGTATAATTTCATATATGGCAGTATGTCACTGACCGCATAAATGTCACACCACTAATAAGTGTAAATAAAATTTATTTATAATTTCATAGACCCCAAAACACAGACATATTTCTAACAGACTGCGACAGACAACCGTTTCTTGCTTGTTTTTTTCCCACCCCATCCATCCTGAGTTGCTGCAGCCTCATAAATAAAATAAAAAAATGTGTTTGTGCATGTTTTTGAGGGTTTGTGTAAGTGGAATCACTT